ATTAGCAAACATGATGGGCTGTGGCGTCCTTCCTTCGAGGTACTTTTAGGTACTCCTTATAGGAGTCCGAAAGTAAAAAGGTCAAAGGTCACTATAGCAGATTGCACTTAGGTACTATAATAGTAACCAAGTGAGTTAATACTTAGCAATAGTCACTAGATAGTAATATATACTAGATAGAAATATTTTAGTCATAAATTAAAATTATTGATTAAATAAAGTATTAGCATGATTGCTGAAAAAAAAAAAAAAAAATTTTTTTGCACAAAACATTGATATCTATTTGATGTTAATTTTCATTTAAAGCTTAATTGAAATAACTACAGAATGTATGAGTTTGAACTTAGAAAAGTTTCATTTATAATTTATTCTGTAGTCTTTGACCTAAAAATATTTAATATATAATAATTCATAAATATTGTAAAGCCTGAACATGTTTATTATAGTATAATTTAAGCTTAATTCATTATATATATTAATGCTTTACTGGTCTCTACTATATTGAACTATGAGCTATTATATAATAATCTTAATATAGTATAATTTTGTGTATATATTATAGAAACTTATTAGATATATACTATATATAAGCGAAGTAGCAAATTGTATAGTAATGTGTTTGTTGATAATAAATAATTACTAGTACATTGAATTATTTTAGCTGAATTTGTATAGTCTATTTTTTAAGAATTCAAGCCTTATTAAAATTCATTCTTTAGATTTTTATTTTTCATTCACAATACTATATATTTTTAGCTAATTCAGTATATTATATTCTTTAATTTGTAATTTTCTTCTTTTTGTGATACATCTAGATTTGATTCCTTAATTCAGTATAACAGTATAATTAGTGCTAGTTCTGATATATAAATTTAATATATAATATATAACTGTACAAAATTTTTTAATAGTAATTCAATATGCGTTTAGATAATTGATTTTATAGTATATTAATTTTATTTATAGCATTTAATTAGTAGATACTAATGCATTCAATTGTGCATTTAGACAATGCTACATATATCAATTCAAGTTATTCTAATATGCATATATTTAATTATCAATTAACAAAAATAGTTACTATTTTTTTTTTATTAATTATTTACTATTTATTTATTAATTAATAAATTATTTGCATTAGTGAAATTAATACATATTTCCATAGCCCTTATCCTATATACATAAATAGATACCTATGTATAAAGATCTCTAAGTACAGTTCTAAGTTTATACAATAAAATAAATACATATTGAATTCATGATGAAAAAATTAGCCTATAATATGCATGCCAAATTCTATTCTATGTAAATACATACTAAATTGCTAATTCGTGAAAAAATTAAAAATCAAATTTATATTAGTAAAATTAATATTTTCATATCCCTTATCCTCTATATATAAATAAATATCTAATGCGTAAAGATCTCTAAGTGCAGTTCTAAGTCTATACAATATTAAATCAATGCGTATTGAATTTATGAAAAAAAAATTATTCTAATATGCATGCCAAATTCATGAAGAGTCAGTTGGTCTATACAATACATCCTGAATTCATAAGAAAAAAATTAAAAATCAAATATTGTGAATAAAAAATAATAAAATTGCTGCTATGTATGTCAAAATTCCTAAATAATTTGTCAAAATAATAGTTCAGACTAGCAAAATATAATAAAGGCCTTTTTTTACTAATCACATCTAAAAATTATATAAAGAAGAAATTATAGCATTAAATTATCTTCAAGTTGAATAAATTAGTGTTTTTTTATCTATATCTTTGAATAAATTATTATAAGAAAAATTTTCTATTATCTTAATCTTTTTAATTCTTCCCATGTTATCATTACTAAATGAAGTGATACTTAATAATGAAATTAACAGATTAGTGCTAATTGACATCAATGCAATCTTTAATATTGATGAGAAGTCTGATATGGATATTAGTGACAATGAACTTGATAATACTCTTGATAGAATTATAGATGCAACAGACAGTGTTGGAGAAGTGTAAGAAATAAAAGATGATGATAAAACCCTACAGGATTTGAATAATACGGAAAAATCCAAAACATTTCATCTACTTGTTGATAGTTATAAAGAATAGATTAAAAATCTTAAGAAGGCAGTACTTAGTTATGTTAGACATGAATATAGAATAAAAGAAAGTGGCTTTAGAAAAAAATATAAGTGAACAGAACAATAGCACTGCCATCATTATGGCACATATAGTAGTGCTGCTAGGAAGAATTTTAGTAAAAAGTCATAACTTTCATAAAAAGAAACAAAAAAATGTGAATGCAAAAGTTACATTAAAGTAGCATACCTAGTTGATTCAACAATAGTAATCCTACAATACTATTATAAACATATTAATTATCAACTCAGCTAGCTATCAGATTTATGCATACTTTCCCTGTCTAACAATATACGCTATTTCATTAAACAACTTGCTCTAGAGAGACTTGATACTCATAGTATCTAACAACTTTTGTAGCACTGAGGAATCAAACTTTAAGATCGTATGCAGCTTTTGAAACAGGGAACAGAATCTCAAAATATTCAATTATTACTAGATAGTTTAGTAACAAAAAATGATATTTATACTATTATGTATAATACAATGAAATTATATGCCTACTTTGATAATGATGAATTAAATTCTTTAATAAAGTGGGAAGAGAAATTAAATTGTGTAGGTGGATGTTGCTTACTTAATCATAGTAACAATGATAGAGAGTTTATGTTTGCTTTTCAAACAGAAATGCAAAAAGAACTAATAAAATTTGCAAGGGTGGTATGCTTAGATAGTACATATAGGTTGAATAAAAATAGATACTACCTTTTTACACTTATTATTCAATATTCAGCAACAGGAAGTAGATATTCAGTCATATTTTTAATTAGCAAATTCAAGTGATCAGTTACCTTAAAAGCTTGGCTTGATTTTTTTTAAAAAAAAAATAGAGAATAGAATTCAGATATCTTCATAGTCGACAATACTAGTGAAGAGATCAAGGCTGTTAAAGAATACTTCCTAGATAGCAGTGTATTATTATGCCATTTCTATGTTTTATACTCTTGGCATCGCAATCTGAATTATTATTGTAGTACTAATAAAGATTCACACAAATTAATTATTTAGAAAGATCTTTGATGGCTAATAAAAACTGAAGAATGGGACAATTCAGAGGCGTTAAAACAGATTACAGAAGTAATTAATAAATAGAGACAAATAAATGTAGAAGCTATAAATAAATTTGTAAAATATTTTGAAAGATGGTAGAAGCCTAAATATGATAAATAGATAGTTTGTCTAAGAAGGGTTACTAGAGATATGATGAATACAAATAATTTAATAGAGGCATTCTATCGAAAATTAAAATATGTATATATGAGAAGAAGATCTAGACGATGCCTTGATAGTGAAGTATACCTACTTGTTGAAATAGTACTTTGGGATTTGAACTTCTCTGTTTTTTTAGATGATTTGAATATTAGAAGTATGAATCTACAAAGATGACAACAATGACTCCAAGAGATTGAAAGAGCAAAAAAAATTAATTAGAACAATATCTATAATCTTAGCTCAGATACTTGAATTATCTATTCTATGACTAATACTAATATTGAATATACTATTAGAAGAAGTAATAAAGAAGATAATTTAAACACTAATTCATATATTTGTATTTGTTATGATTTTAAAGTATGCTAATTACTATACGAGTATATTTGCCTTGCTAAGTCAGCTTCGGATCTCTGAAGATAATATAGAAAAAAATAATTAACATATCCAACTTCAATATCCCACAAAAATTAATATTTTTAGTTCTTTCAGCTCTTCTCATTTACCTACAAATTATACTAATACAGGAAAAAATAAGTTGGAAAAATTACAAAAAGAACTTGTAGAAATAATTACAGAATAGAAAGATAAAAATAA